GGGATACAGCAGAATGCTTGGAAATTCCAGCACCTGAGTAAGTTTATCTCCATGGGTGCCAGACACAGAGCAGCCGTTATTTCTGGAACAGTCAGCCTTGAGCATGCATCCCCATGAGAGCTCCATCTTGTCAAAGCAGCATTAGCAGTGCGATACTGAATTATCCACACACTGGGGTATGGACACAGGGTTACTGCCTGAAACAGTGTGCAAGGTTTAACCCTTGCCGGGATGAGAGAGCACGTGGCTTTTGCCCCTCCCCCACCAGCGCCGGTCGCATCGGAAGTTAAACACAGACCCCGGCTAAAATAACAAGAAATTTAATACAGCAGAGTGATAGAACAATCTGAATAACAACAGTATCAATGGTAACAACAATAAACAGCAATAACAGTGAATAAGACAAAAGATATACAGAGAAATACCGCTAAATGATCAAGGAGCAAACCCACCACGTGTATGGCAAAAACCAACACCAGAAGCGAAACTAAAAAGGCTCCGTCCCTGGACCTGACGTCAGCATGGTATGAATAACCCGGCTGGAGATCCCTTCCCCCTCTCTCTCTGCTGGGGAAAACTTTGCTCTATCCTGGCTGAACCAGGACAAACAGGAATAAACAAGTGATGGAAGTGAAAATATTTCCACAGGACAGTGCACTACTCCACTGCTACTACATTACGTACATCACTTTTGTAAAAAAAAAAAAGGGTAATATATATTCAAATACATCAAAAATATTAAATATTACATCTAATTTTAATGTATAAATATATATACCTCCAGTAACTATTTATCTGCTTGTATGGATGAGTATCTAGCACGTGAAGTATATCACTTCGATAAACATTACACCCTTTAAAAGGTGAAAAAATTCTCCAATTGAATGTTCACTCTAACACCTTCCGTGTGGTTTGCTCTGTCTCTCCCAGTACCCCCCCCTCCAATCCTTTTCTCTCCTAAAGATGCACGATCCAGCCACCTGCCTTTCCCCTCACCACAACACCTCCTGCTGAACGCCTCTGACCCCCTTCTCCAGTCAAACTGCCACCTCTGCTGCCAGCTGAGGTCTGCATGGAGAAAACAAATCACCTCCTCCTCCCCACAGAGCTTCTGAGGATGGGAAAGGAACAGAAACCAGACAGAAAGCGGCTGAAGGCGGGGAAGTTCACCCATTCTGTTGCCTGCTCGGAGCAGGGCTGGAGGAGGCGTCGCTTTGCAGGGGAAGGCAGCGCCGAGGGACACGCTGGGAGAGCAGCACGGGCACGGCAGAACCTGGGCAATCCTTCTCACCTGGAGTGAGAAGACCCCTGGCAGAAATCAAAGTCCAAGATCACACCTCGTGACACCAGTACACTCCAGTCCAAAGTGTGAAGGCTCTACTGTGTAAAAAAAAAAAAAAGGAAACTGTACCTAAAAATTCCATCAGTTCAGTGTCACAGTACGACCTTTTAAAATAGAAAACCTAAACAAACTGTTACCTGGCTAACCACAGTATTCCAGAGGAATCTAAAGATCACTACAAGGAAGATTTCAGTTCCTGTTTAGCATAAAACTGGGAGCATCTCTGAAAAACAGACTGTTGTGTTTAATTACTGCATAACTTAATAGAGAGGTATATAGGGCAGGCACCTATAATGTGTCTCTGAACACAGGAAATACAACAGCTTCAAAATTATGTAACTGTTCACAGAAGCTTCTCAGAAATAGTCATTTCCATTTTTCTTAAATAAGCATTTTCAAATGCTTATCAGCAGCTACATTATCTATCTATTTTAATCGAATAGAACGTCATTAAAAGCTTCCAGAAGTCCTTCTTAAGGGTTCAATTTTTCCATCTTTCATCAGTTTCATAGGAATAAAGTAACAACATTTTACACCCGCTAAACCACAATTTAGTTCTACACTTTTTGGTTTTAATTTTCTTCGCTAGATCCTTTTCTGTACTGCTCCTCCCTTCTCTCCTTACAACCTCCTGTTATTTTTCTCCCCTTTTTCCACCTTTTCTGCATTTTCTGTTCCTTTTCCCCCATCCTTCCCTCTCTCCATCCTACTATTTCATTGTTTATAAAAAACCCTTAAAGGCTGCAAGAAGGGGCAGAGGTGAACTGTCAAGAATGGAAAAGTTGCAGTCAAAAATTGGTACTGGCTTCTATTTATTTTCTCTCTGTTCTTGTTCCCATTTGACCACATCCCAGGCAAAGGTGTGCCAGGCCCTGAGGAGATGAGGGGCTGTTATAAGCGGTCTGCAGTGATGCTACTCCTTTCTTACTGAAAAGTATCCAAATGTAGATAAATAAATCCAATTTCTAAGCAAACTAAGATATCTCCAACGCATGCTCTAAACATCAGTGTCATCCCAGACTCAACCTTCCAGTTCTTTACACTGCATCTCCTGGGACAGCAAAGCAAACAATGATTAAGACAAACTATTTTGTGAACAAAGATTTCTTCTCACCTGATATAAACATCAGGAAAAAAAACCAACCCAGTAACCAGAAAAGTGACCGCTCACAGATTGAATATTCATGTGTGAATTTACATTAATGTTTTACAATAATCTCATTTTGTTTAGACAGAGTAAACTAATACATTTGAAAGTATATTTTCACAAGTAGTTTTCAGTGGAAAACTTGGTAAAAATTAAAAAGTACTGGAGGCCTGACTTTAGCAGGTCACAGGCTTAACCAACAGCCTTTCACTTCCTGGGCTAAGGACAGGATTGTCCCATTCTATATTGCCAGGACAACTCTCATACTGCCACCTTACTATTGGCCCAGGTTTTTAACAGAAAGATACACTTATGAACTAAATCTGCCTTTCTGTAGGAAAAGCAAATGAATCTCCAAGAGCCCAAAGAAACCCAAACCCCACATAAGCCAGTGTATCCATAGAAATCCTGAACATCAGGCAAAATGAATCTGCATCACATCAACAGTTTCCAGACTGGACAGAACAACTTTTGCAGGCTTGTATGAAAGACTGTACTAATGCTCACTGAGTGCATAGGCTAAGGAATTACACACCTTCTGAATAATCACACCCTGCCCTACAAGGAGCTTTATGATGCTGAGCTATAGGAGACTAATTGACACAAACAGAGGTTTAACAAACTCATGCTATGCCACAGGGGATCCTCTACAGACTTAACGCAAGATTAAAGTTAAAGGCCTGATTCTCATTGCCTTCAGAACGCCAACTGAAAGTCTGAGGTCAATTGTACTGTCATTACCTAGAGAGAAATCGGCGCCTCATGCCCCAAGCAGCGATGAGATTTCCATGGGGAGAGATGCTCCTCCTCTGGCTCCTCCTTCCAAGAGTCTTCTTCCTTTATGTTTGTATTACAAAACACACAACGGCCTTGGGAGTATCTTGCACGGTCTATTATTAAAGCCACACACACAGATACAAAAGTTGCTCGTCCCAAATACTATACAGACAATTAGCTGGCACTTTAGCTAGTTAAAAATAACACCGATAACAAACGAGTTTTGAACCACCTGACTGTTCCAGGCAGTCATCACTTCCTACACCCTCCACACCTTCACAGCTGAAGTCACACGCTTCTCCTCACATTCATAATCACAGGCACCTTACACAAAGCAACAAATATTTACGCCAGAAGCAGCTCGTGAGCCCCCACAGCAGGAAGCAGCACTAGAACCCAGAGGCTCTCAGTTCTCAGGGAGCCGTACAGCGCTGTGGCACGAGCACAAGTTCAGTGCCAAGACGCTGCTCAAGAACACACTCTGCACTGCTGACATCCTGGATCTGACCAAGCATCACCTGACTTCACACACTGATCAGGGTATCTTCTGACTAGAAGCTCCACTATCTTACCCAAGAAAATAACACTTACCAGTTTACAAGAAAATCTATTCAAACTCCCCATGAAACAGTGTGATTCCTCCAGCTCCTATCACAGACTGGTACACAAAGTAGGTCAGGTAACAGACAAAAGGCCTCCCCAACAGATGGAGATTTGCCTGTTCTTTATAGTTCAGCTACCTATTACTAATTTAAAACAATTAATTTGTTGCTTTTAAAATACATTAAGCACACCAAGACACACAAACAAACAAAAACGTTAATGGGGAAAAACCTCGGGTTTGACCTTTACCAGTAAACCCAGCGCCATCCACTTACGGACACCGTGTTTCTGGAGCCCTGTCCCCTGTGTGCCGCCTGCAGCTCCACCCAGCAGCAGGGCTCTTCTCAACCCCGGGCTCTGCCCAGGGACACGAGAAATCACAGCGCTGCCAACTCACAGCAACGGCTCCAGGCTCTCGCCTCTGAAGCAAAATCCTTCAGATCTGCACTTACGCATTTCATACAAAGTCCACCAGCAATCCAAACAGCTCCGTCCACCACAAAAACAACCCCTGGCTCCTATTGGTACGTGCACAGCCGATCATGTGTTCTCAAGAGCAGAAATCCAGGGTCCGGAGCATCACTTCACCGTGGGTATATCCCAGGCACACACGATCCCAGAGATCCTGGCACCACTGCCCGGGGTTCCTCCTGCACCAAAAAGAATTCTGCCACTTCTATACATTCCCTTCCTATTTACCCCCAGCAGCAGCCAGGCGTTAATTCTTGTTTCTCGAGACATTACACTCTTCCCTTGATTAAAGGGTTTTATAACAGCCATCCCAGGGCAGACTCTAACCCAGATCTCCGGGAACCTCGGCAGATGGGGTCTGAAGGGGAACGGCGTTCCCCAGAGACAGCTCACCTCCAGCTTTCCAAATCCCCTAAAACACCCACAGTCCTGGTTATACCGAGAAGGAGCGAGGAAACGAATCCTTTGTTCAACCTCACTATTGCCCAAAGTGCAACTGCCACACGGGCTTGGCGCCCAGAAACACCCATTTTATTCTCATTTTCTTAACACACACACCCCCTGCGTGTTCCCGGCCGCCCGTCCCGCGTCCCCGCACAGAGCCCCAGGGAATTCCCCGCCCGAAGGAACCGGCGTCCCGGGACCGAGCGGCCGCACCCGGCCCCGACGGCCCCTCCGGCAG